GCCCTCTACCAGACTCCTCGTACCCCACTGGTCTGGGTCTGTCACAATATTTACTAACATGCCAATGTAATACAAGGTAATATAGTTAATGCAAATCCATGTGGGTTTATGGAAAACAGACCCTGTCAAACTAATTTGATATCTTTTTTTATTCGATTACTAGTTTGGGTTGATAAAAGATAACAGTGTTGTTGTAAGACTTTGGTAAGGTGTGTCATGCGATATACCACATTTTGATTAAAAAAACTAGAATGATATAAAATTAACATGGCACACATTAAATGGATTAAAAACTTGCTAACTGACAGGTATTAAAATGTGTAACTACATATGGGGAATCGTTTTTGAGTGGGTCTATCTCCAGTGGGGTTCTGCAGGGATTGTTTCTTGGCCCTACACTGTTTAGCATTTTTACCAATGACCTGGAAGAAAACATACAATCATCAATGATAAAGTTTACAGATGACACAAAAATTTGGGGAAACAGTAACCAAAAGGACACATCACTGATTCAGAGCAATCTGGAATGTTTGGTAAACTAGGCACAAGCAAATGATGTGCGTTTTAATACAGCTAAATATAAATGTATATATCTAGGAACAAACAATGCAGGCCACACTTACAGGACAGGGGACTCTATTCTGGGAGGCAGTGACTTTGAAAAAGATTTGGGGGTCATGGTGGAAAATCAGCTCAATATGAGCCCCTAACGTAACGCTGTGGCCAAAAGAGCTAATGTGATCCTCAGATGCATAAAAAGGAGAATCTCAAGTAGGACTAGAAAGGCTATTTTACCTCTATACTTGGCAACGGTGTGACTGCTGCTGGAATACTATGTCCAGTTCTGGTGCCCACAATTCAAGAAAGATGTTGATAAATTGCAGAGGGTTCAGAGAAGAGCCATGAGAATGATTAAAAGATTAGAAAATATATAGTGATAAACTTATAGTGATAGACTGAGCTCCAAAGAGAAAATTAAGCAGTGACTTGACAATGGTCCATAAGTATCTACACGGGGAACAAATATTTAACAAGAGGCTCTTCAAACTAGCAGAGAAAGGTATAACACAATCCAATGGCTGAAAGTTGAAGCTAGACAAATTCAGACTAGAAATAAGGCATAATTTTTTTAACAGCAAGAATAATTAACCACTGGAACAATTTACCAAGGGTCTCCATCGCTGATAATTTTTAAATTAAGATTGGATGTTTTTCTTAAAGATACGTTCCAGTAATTACTCTGGGGAAGTTATATGGCCTGTGTGATACAGGAGATCATAATGATCCCCTCTGGCCTTAGAATCTATGCCTAGAGCAGATTTCTCAACACTAAAGAAGCAAAGGTTATCAAGGCAGATATTCATAATACAAATACATCTACGGCCCTCTTTCAAATGCAATTCCTTTGGTATAACATCCTTTTACTGTGATCTACCATATGATTAATTTCTTAATAAAGAAATGTTTAAAATAATATAAAATTAAGTATTAAAAAGACTCAGGTATCAACTTTCTGCGAGACATTAGGAAGCTCCAGGGAAGCGCACCAGCTAGCTTTCATATAGTACCCTGGCCAGCAAGGAAAACAAAGGGTGTTTCAGTATATGCAGAAAGCTGCCAACATTCTTGTATTTAGAATTCATATTTCAATAAAGTTCTACATGAGGCACAGAAAGGAAAAAGTTTAACAGCAGAATAAAGCAGTTCAAGATATTTCGGTAGCTGATAATCTGAGCAGGAGTTGTAGGGTGACATAAACAGCATGCGTCATTAACCTGCTGTGGAACCCTACACATTTAAATAATTTTCAGTCAAGAAAGAAGTTAAATAGGTGCAGGTGGAGCCGTAGGTAGGTGCTATTTGTGCCTATGCCCTAATCCAACTCTTGCCCATGGGTGTACCTGAATCCCACTGAGGGTGACATATATATAATTCAGGTGTCAAATAGCACATAACTACTCTATGTCCATCCATGGTGCCACAAAAATCTGAGGTACCTATTCCCCCAATGTGAAAATAGTTCTCCTAGTAGATTTTAGTAATATCAAAGGCTACAAGAAAACAAATAATGCAATAAAAAGGCATTCAATATATTTTAGGAAAAAAAGGTGTCCCCTTCCAATAATGCATTTTAAAAGAGAAATGTGCCAGTTGCTAACATTATTGACTGATTCTTACCATCTAAGGTCTGATTGTAGGGAGCATTGGCTCTTGCAATACATTCTGTCCAGATCTGACTCTGCTCATCATAAGACATCACGAACAAGAAATCACAGGCATCTGCAATCCCACTGTAGTTGTAGCATCTTTTGTCTATGCATGCTGGAGACCAAGCCACATCAAAGGTGACCTGATGGAGAAAACCACAACTTTATATCTAGTGTGGAATTCATGCATTCTGTTGCTTTGCTGTTTTGTAAAGCAGTGCTATGTAATCTTTAGTGGGATATTTTCAAAATGTTGCGCTGTTCGATACCCATGGATCGTAAGAGGAACTGTTCAGCTAAAACCCTGTAAAATAATCAAATATTTCTGAGTTTTCAGAGCAAATCTGCCTTTACAACTATAAAATCAATATGCATAAAAGGGGCACCGTCAAGACTAGTGGGCCCAAAATCTGATTCACCTTTTTTTAAATAGGTCTGCAAAGTCTTCTATACATGTGTAATTTAATACACACACACACACAGAGAATTAAGAACTATGATAAATGATACTCTATTTAAGAACATGACAGAGAACAGGCAAAGGATAAAGATAAATCTTTAGCAAAGGAAATCTTTAACATCTTTGATTCCTTTGCCTGTTAAATCCTGCTAAAGATTTTTCAAGTTTTTCTAACATCATGCTGAACTTATCAGTATTTTCAAATTTGCATCTGAAGAAGTGAGGATTTTTACCTACAAAAGTTTATGCCCAAATAAACATGTTAGTCTTTAAGGTGCCACCGGACTCCTTGTTGTTTTTGTGGATACAGACTAACACGGCTACTACTCTGACACTTGACAGTATTTTCAAAGTTTCATTAAGTCATACCAATAACAACAGAACAGTGATTTACCAAAAAAGTCTATAATGAAAATACTGTCAATCCCAGCAAAATTGCTTCTATTTTAATATTTGAGTTCCATAAAGGATGCATTTTCAATTATCCATAGGAGAAAAAGAATACAGCCATTTTTGTTCTGTTTGTACAGCACCTAGCTCAATGAGGAGCTTATATATGACCATAATAATATATATAATTAACAACGCACACTTGGGAAACAGTGCCAGAGGCTTGCACAGAACTTTACTGACAAGTGTTCTTTACATTATGGAATAAATTGCCGGGACATCACAGATTTAAAAATCTATCATTTTATAAAATAAATTTTGTTTTCACCTGTGATCCTGGAATTTCTCTATGAAAAGCATCAGTAGTTTCTTTAACCAGAGCTGTTAATGCATAGTATTCAGGTGACATCGCAATAACTTCTTGCTCTATGTCTATATTAATTCCATCCATATACTGCTTTTTGGCCAGGTCCACCTGTCGTGCTATCCAGGCTGTTCTGTTAGCAGAGTCAATAATTTCCTTCACAGGTACATCTCCTAAACAAGAAATCTTAATAAATTACCACTTACTTGAATAATAGTAGATAATGGGGTTGGGGGGGAAATCCTATTCTGCCATATACTTCATCTCCATGCTATATGTGGACTGTATAGCGGAGACCAATTCAAGTGTGGGGTAGTTTGGTATTTTTTGGTAAAGTTTCCTTGGGAGATCATACTATGGTGTGAGATTTTTCCTGAATTTTTCTTTGCAGTTTCATCCCACTACTTCTAGTTATTCCTTCTTTAGCCACTGTGAACTATTGCTCTTCCTTCCTCGAAGCTGACACCTTTCTGATACTTCTAGACAGTGACTCACTCCTCTTGTTTCTTTTAACCTTTCCTTTCAGGCGATCCCTCTTTCTTCCACATCTTTGTTGCCTTTTTCTGTCTTTTTTGTAATGAGAAGTCCAAAACTCTGTGTACAACATCTAAGTGTGGCCACAAATGAAGGATTTTATAAATAAAATAAACCCCAAATATGAACAGCATTTTCAGCCTCATAGGTATTACACTATTTTTTTCTTAACATTTAATTCTTTACACACACCTTCCTCCTAGTATATATTTGGAGCTATTCACGTCCAAGAACCTCTAAGATTGAGTTAGAGCTCTTTAATTCAACATTTGATTTTTAAGTATTATACAAAATACATGGAGCATAGACCCGACACATGTCCTGCATATGTTCTTCCTCTTCCTACTTCTTCCTCTCCATTCCCATGTGACTTCTACTGATCTCTTTCCCAGTAAATCCTTTATTTTGCTGATAATGAAGTAGTGTTGTTACTATTGGGGCAGAAGGAATTGGAGTTTTGCCTGTTTTATACTTTAAAAAAAAATTCTGGGTGGTAGTGTATTATGACCCTATGCAAAAGGGGGTATATTATTCCCTTATACATTTAATACATAAATGCCCACATTTCCCTAACTGTAACCAACCTTTTAGTACTACCCTGGCTCCTTTAGAATGAGCGTAACACAATAGTTCAGGGTCATACTTTCCAAAAGCTGCCACAGTTGTAATCTGTGACCAATCATAGAACTTCCACGTTTTTCTTCCAACATCAAACACAAAGACCTGCAAAAGCAGAACAAAAAGTAAGCCACTGGAATCACACCAAATGTCAAACTCTCATGACAGTTTAATTTAAATTAGAGCTGTGTTATTTCTTTCCCTTGCATCCCAAATACATTCTAGGTAAAGTAAAACGTTAAATTATTCATGCTTCTTGAAAGCCAGCTTGTCCTTTACCTTTACAGATTTAGGGCCTGCCAAATTCATCAGCTGACTGGTCTCAAAATGTAAACAAACTGGCGGGAGCTTTGACAGGATCCAATGTCATTTCCCAGTAATTCATGCTGACCCCAGTTTATAATTTTTTTGTCAAGCAGAAGCTGCCAGACCAAATAAACCTACCCTAACTGATTAGATTAATTGAAACAATTTGCTAATGAACTAATTTAGACTCATTTAAAATTTCAGGAAGATAGTCATGGATTACAACTCATTTTATTCATTAAAAACAAGACTGTTGTGATTTAATGGGCTGGATTTTGTAAGAGGTTGAATAAATCATCCCTGTAATTTAACAGTAGTCCAACATTTGAGAGTCTAACCCTAATCAAATTTCAAAGTTTCACATCTAAAGGTGTAATGACCAGAAAGATACATTAGAGCCCAAAAAAGAGAAGCAACCGATTAGCCATGAACACGTGAGTAAGAAACACAACAAAATAGCTCACTCCCCAACTCTAGCTTCTGCTCTAAGAGGAGTCACAATTCATATGTACTTCGGCCTCAACCTTTCCCCTCGCTGGCACTGCCAGGCTGGTACAAAGACCCCCCCGGCCATAACTGAGGGCTCGCAGGCGGGGCTAGGGGCGAGGGGACCCCAAGCGAATCCGAGAGTCTCCCGCTGGGAATGGGCGGTGAGGACCGTAACGACGCCGCCCGCCAGGCCGATGCAGCGGGGGTGGCAAGGGGCAGCTCAGGCCCCAGCCCCAGGCCAGGCCACTGCACCAGGGCCCGGGAGCGGCAGGAGCCAGGGGTCCGAGGCCGGAAGGGCCACAGTGGTGAGCCGAGGAGGCTGAGGCCCGCAGCGCCGACAGGCCGCGAGGCCCTATGGGGGAGGCGATGCAGGAATCCCCGCAGGCTACAGGGCCCCGAGACGGGCAGCCCCGTTCCCAATCCCAGAGCCCCTTGCGGCTCTCGGAGTCGGGATACCTCGAACTCCTGGGTGCCAGCGATCGGGCGACAGAGCGCGGGGTCGCCGCAGGGGCACGCGCCGCTGCTCGAGCCCAGCCGCAAGAGCGCGAGAAGGAGAAGAGGGCAGCAGCGGGAGGGGCACGCGCCGCCCCCCAACAGCCGCTTCATGCTGAACACTCTCGCTACGTGACCCTTCCCTGAACCGGGCACCTCAGCTGGGACCCGCACTTCCGCCTCGACTCCAGCTACGGGAAGGGGGGCGGGCCAATCCTCCTGCTCTCGCTGCTGGCCACGCCCCCCCGCAGCAGCGCCAGGGGGCACAGGCAGCTGACAAGAGGGGGCGACATCGGGAGCGGGAGTCCAGGCTTCGGCTGAAAGCGCGCTGGGAGGGCGGGTTGTGGGGGAAGCCAGGCTCCCCGCATGACACCGGCGGGGCGGGGCGCGGCCCAGCCCGGAGCTGGGCGTGTAAATAACGCCCGGGGCAGGGAGACTCGGGGCCAGCTCGTCACTTACTGATAGTGAGCCCCGCCTTCCTGGGGACCACGTGCCGCTCGCCAGGCCCCTTCGGCCCAGTTAGCGGCGCTGGAGCTGGGAGCCTGGCGGCTCTTGCGCTTCTGCCAAAGAGCGTGGCCGTTATTTCCCCTCCCCCCTATTTAACAGATGGAGAAACAGAGGCAAAGGGAGCCAGTAGTTTTGCAAAAGGCTCGGGAGGGAGTAGGCGCGAGGGCCACGTCTGGACTGGCTCTCAACTATTGCCTGCTCCCTACTGTCCCCGTCCTTGGTGCCTGGGAATACTGAAGCATCAAAGAAGTGGGTTTTTACCCACCGAAGGTTATGACCAAATACATCTGTTAGTCTTTAAGGTGCCACCAGACTCCTTGTTGTTTTTGTGGAGCTGGAGGTATGCCGGGGGAATCAGACCCTATGGAGCATTTACTCAAACACAGCCTCGGATTTTGGATACCTCCGTTATTGGTACCCAAGAGGTCCAGGCCTGCTTTTTACAGGCACTGAAAATATGTAACACAAATGTGAGCCCATAGGAACTGCATGTGCTTAGCACTGCCGAAAATGAAGCCCTGGGGTGTGTAAAGTTGATTATCCTAAAACTGGGACACGCAGAATAGGCCCCAGTCCTGCGATTGGCACTGCATGAGTAGGTGCCTGCACAGTGCCAGTTGCAGGATTGGGGGCAACTTTGAGGCTCCCAATCCTCAAATTGCCTTGGAGGCAACTTTTAAAAGTGTAGCCTTAATGACTGCTGAAGGTTGCTGGATAGTGCAATAATATAATGAAGTGTTTTATTTCTCTGTGACAAAATAATTTTGTGTAGTCAATAAATAAACCTGAACAACTGTTTTTAAAGTACAAATATTTATTAAGGGTATCCAGAATTGTTTTCAAAATCTTAAAATATTACATTGAGAAATCATTTTATAAAATAATTCAGTGTTAATGTCTTTGCTGTCTGAAACAAAGTAGTGTGTCCATGATTGCAGAGAACGAGTATGCATACATCAAAAAAAAAAAAACACTGTTAGGGATATCTAACCCTATGAAATGTCATGTCATGCTGCACACTGTAGTTGTTCACAGGAACACATTGTATGAGCATCAACTGTGTTCTCCAAATCCTCAGACTTCTGGTTTAACCTAATCTGTTCTTCATCAAAGCTGGCTGTGGAGTCTGAAAATAAGAAAATGGGGGGGAGGGGAAGTGATGTGAAAGTTATTTGTGTACTTTCCTGGGACTCAAATGTGCTAATTCAAATGGATTATCCATGATTATACAGTTTTAAAATCTGCATTTTGATTACTTGAAGAGTAAAGCAAACCTCTCAAAGCAATAAAAAACAAAAACAAAAGTTTTATTGCTGGGCCAAAGCAATAAAAAACAAAAACAAAAGTTGTAGGAACCAGTCTTTATGCAGGTCCAACTCCCACTGAACTCAGTGGGAGTTTTGAATGCAAAAGGACTCCAGAGTCAAGCTTGTCATTTTAATGGGCATCATTATTTGGAATCTTATTTTTTTTAAAGCCAGTACACTTTTTAAATTCATTTAGGCTAGATTCTCTAACCCTTACCCATGTTGAAGTAAAATTACTCTGCAGGTAGACTTTACTGCTTTTTTTTCTCCCAAAATTTAGGATTTGGGGCTTTTTTCACATTAGAAATACCACATCCTCTCTTCTTTGTGCTAAAGGTTCTTGGTAAGCTCTTTGAAGAACATAAATAACAGTGTCACAGGAGGCTGTAGCCTGGACTGATGCACTTCCTCCCATAGCTGATGGGGATGCTAAGTCTTCATAGAGTCTAACAATTGGACATGCATGATACACCCCTTGAAAAGGTATGGAGTTTTGAGACTTACCAGCTGGCACACAATGGAAGCCAACAAAGACAGGAGCAGTTCTAGTTGCTGAACATCCTTTCACACAGCGCAAAACTGGCTCGACTGAATAGCACTTTGAGGCCACATTTTCAAAACCAACTGGCTTCTCAATTTTGATGAGTGTGCGCTGCAGTTTACAAGCTACAAGAAGTCAAATAATTGGATTTTAAAACATAAGCTCTAGAAAGCAGATACATTTCCCCAACTATACCTGAGTATTACATAGATGAATCAGTGAAATCAAAGAGATCTAAACAAAGTAGATCAGTGATAAATAATATTTTAAATTTGCTCCCATTGAAGTTGATGGGAGTTTTACCATTAATTTCAGAAGGAGGAGGATCAGGCACTAAATTCTGCCCTGAGGAATGCCAATGGGATAACAACTGCATGTCTGTAACAAGAGGCATCTTGCAGTAACAGGCCAAGACAGCTCAGGACAGGTGTTATGCTTTGCAAAGTAGGGTTGCTCCGTTGTGCAAGTGTGATGCACATGCCTGACCTGCTCCCGGCAACATGGACTGACTACATGCTGCTCAACTTGGGGCACAGTTACATTCCTTTTCTTCCATTTCACACCCCCTTTGGCCATAGAGGGCATTTTGACTTCTTACTGGGGTATGGCTGCTAATATGTTTTTGTACATCATGGCAAGATGTCATGTGCCCCCAATCTCTATCCATTAAAATGTTGTCCCTCTCTAGCTCCTTATCTGTCTAGTGTAATTAGGAGAGAGAAACTTTATATTTTTGATAGACAATAAAAACATGAAAGTAGCAGAATACAAATCAGCAATGAAGATATGCCCAATTAAATGATTATCTGCCTTTAAAGAATATCTGTTTTATAGGTATTTACTGGTTCTTACCTGACTTACATTGCAAAAGTCATTTTTGTGTTTATAATATAATTTAACACACACATCCCTCATGTAGATGCATGATAAAAACTAATCTGGTATAACAATTCAACAACACAAGACCTTGCAATGAACTACCAATCTCAGGAAAATTTACTTTCTTTTATATGTAAGCACCAATCACATTGATAGTGAAAAGTGTGCACTAGCGGCAGATTGGCAGGTACTCTATTGTCCAGCTTTTCCTTAGATCTTGGATCCAGTATAGCACATATGTCTAAACATTGTAGTTATTCTTGAAGCTAGTCACTTGTCACTCATGGTAATAGCACTAATATGTTTTAGAATCTTCATACCTCCAGCACAGGGCTCTTCTGAGAGAATCCAAGAATGAGCAAAGCTCACTGCATCTTTAGCTACATATCCACTGGGCATTTGATATTTCTGTTTACTCTCACCATCATATTTTCCACAAATACCACATGTTTTTCCAGCCATCCAGAAACCAACTTGAATCTGTGTGAAAGCAAAGGAAAGGTCAATTTAAATGTTTATTTTATAAAAATGAAAACACTAACAGTGAAGAAAAAAGTACTGTACCTTAAGTGTATGTCCATCATAATAAAGTTTATCTATGCCATATTCTGGGGCTTTTACTGACAAGCCTTCCTTCTCACTGCTGATCAGAATGTATGCATCTGTAATATAACAACAAAATGATCTTTCTTTGAAGGCAAAAGTCACTCTTTTAGAGCCTGATCCAACTCCCATTTAAGGAAGAGTCTCCTATTAACTTCAATGGCATTTGGACCAGGCTCTTAATTTGGCAAGTTTCTAAAACCTCAATCCTGAAATTGGATTTGCTAATGAGGACCTCAGCTCCTGTACAAAACCCCAATGAAGTAAAGGTGCCAAATTAATATTGCATTGTTAGGCTCTTATCCTGCAAGCAGGTCCACTGAGGGTCTTTGTCAAGTGATCTGATTGCAGGATCAGGGCATAACACAGTAATTATTACATATTCCATCAATTTGAGAATAGCTTTTTATAAAATATACACTGAATACAGTCAAACTACAATTCCTATAGTGGTGACAGTGGTTTATGGAGAGGAATGGCATGCCCTAACATTGTTCTGGCTGCATGCCACAGAAAGAAGCCAATTTTTTAATATAATTTGTAGGAAATAATTTTTAAAACACCAATACCATCCATTTTAACTATTTAAGTGACCCATTATTTGCTTCAAACAAACAAATAACACCCCCAAATCAGAAAACATAAATATTGAAAACTATAATAAAAAATATGGGATCAGATTGTGCCAATTGCCTAGAGTCCAGGCCATGCAGAACAGGAATGAGACACAGCTAAAAGTGACTGCTGCTCTGGCAGAATCCCAGAGACACTTGGCAACACCTCCCGGCCCCACACGGTGGCCACTACTTTAGCCAAGATGCTGCAATACTGTAGCTGCTGTAACTCCATTGCTTCATTTCTACAAATAGAGCTGGGCTAATATTTTTGTATAAAAACCTTTTTGGGCAAAAAAATGCAGATTGGGATTCACCAAAACATTTAACAAATTCATGTCAGTTTTGCCAAACTGTTTTGGTCAGAAAAAAAAATTCTGAAAAAAATCAAAACGTTTCAAAATGAAATGTTTTATTTAAAATGACTTTTTGAATCAAAATCTTCAATTTTTATTAAAAAAAAATCAACAATGTTTACAAATGCTTGAAACCTTTTCATTTTGGGTCGAATGAAAAGTTTCATTTTACCCAAACAATATATTTTTTGTTATAAACTTGGGGTGCAAGATTATGCAGATCCAGTGTCCCTGTTCTTTGCCCATCTTTTTTGCTGACCTCTCAAACGGCCTTGGTGGAGCCAGTGCAAAGAATCACAGTGTGGCGTGCAGAGGGTGCACGGGCTACCCTGTACACATTGCTCTGTCATGGTCTGTCTGTCCCCGGCCTACCGCCAATGGAATTCTTAAGTAGTGCCGAGGGTCTTGATCTGGCTCTCCAGATCAGGGTGAATTTTATCCTTAGAGAGATCTGCAGAACCACGCTCTTACATATTATTCCCCAGCCATGAGTCTGATAATATTGTTGGGTTTAAATTAAAATATTGCTGCTGCATCTATGGGGCTGACCTGCCTGGTGTGGTTCTCCCTCTTTCTTCTTCAAATATATAGCAAAAAAGGTTAAATGCAATGCAAAATATGCTGTGTCACCTACCAGAATTAGATGTGTATGGAAGAATCTCTGCTGGGGTTTGAACACCATTGATCATCAGCTGGATGAGTCCATTTGAAGGATACATGTCAATCTCACTTTAAAAACAGAACAAAATGAGTTTAAAGTAGGGGTGGGCAAACTATGGGCCACAAACTACGGTCCAGCCCATCAGACGTTTTAATCCAGCCCTTGAGCTCCCACCGGGGAGCGGAGTTGGGGGCTTGCCCCGCTCCACATGTGCCGTGGCTCTGCGTGGCTCCTGGAAGCAGCAGTATGACTTCCCTCCAGCTCCTATACATAGGGGCAGCCAGGGGGCTCCAGACGCTGCCCCTGCAGCTCCCATTGGCTAGGAACTGCAATGCGCAGATCTGCCTGGCTGCACCTCCGCATAGGAGCCGAAGTAGGGATATGCCGCTGCTTCCAGGAGCTGTTTGAGATAAGCGCCACCCAGAACCTGCACCCCTGACCTCCTCCCATACCCCAACCCCCTCCCACCCTCCGAACCCCTCGGTCCCAGCCTGAAGCACCCTCCTACATCCCTTTTGTGCTACTTTTGTGCTACTTAACTCACAATTCATAAACACTGTAGCTCTGACCTTACAGGGTCCTGAGTTCCCTTATCACCCTGAAGTGAAGCACTCCAACACACTATTGGAGCTAAACAGATACTTCTATAATAATTAAAGTGAGTTGATGGTGCTCCACATTCCACAAGAAAATTGGGTTCTCTGTGGCAAAATTATGATCTCTTCGATTATCTGAAAATACTGCGTATTGTAGCATTTTTTCCCAGGAAAAATATGTTTTAAAATTTTATTTAGACATTACATTTACCATAAACAGCTTAATTCCCCAAAAATATTTTAGTAATCATGATACACTGTTCATAATGTTTAAATAAGACTTTTTAACAAAGGAGAGTCACAAAATAAAAGACTGTTTCTTTATTAAATTACCACTTTAAAACAAAAAAAAATGATCTGTAAGAATGGAGATTCATTCACTTTTTTCAAATGTTCACAAATGAGTTCACCACTCCTGAAAGGTGATAGCCTATGTGAATCTAGTGAGCGGTAGGCGGAGCCCACCAAACTAAAGGCTCACCCCCATCAGGTGGGAAAGGGACCATAAGATCCAGGATACAAATGATGACTTGGGACAAAAAATTATAAAAACAGGAATGGGAGTGCAGGTCAAAGGTGTAAAACGAGGGCACTCGTATGGGGACAGCGAGCAGAGAACCCCAGACAGCACTCACTGCTCTGTGAATGAGTACAAGGAGTCGGTGGATGTTTCCCAGAGGAACTCCTCCAGGATGCATGAAATGACCAGGGAGTGGAAAAAGGCTCCACTGTCGCAGAGAATGCCCCCAATGCAAAAGGTGCTAGACCAGGGGTTCGCAAAGTGGGGGTCATGACCGCTCAGGGGGTCGCAAGGTTATTACATGGGGGGTCGCGAGCTGTCAGCCTCCACTCCCAAACCCTGCGTCACCTCCAGCATTTCTAATAATGTTCAATATTAAAAAAGTGTTATTAATTTATAAAGGGGGTCACACTCAGAGGCTTGCTGTGTGAAAGTACAAAAATTTGAGAACCACTGTGCTAGACCAACAGACTTGAAGCCTGCAACCTTTTATTTTGCCACAAAACAGGTACAGCACACTGCAAGCTTCCCTACACTGCCCCCAACTTATCCCTTATACTAGAGGAAACCACCTACATTTCAAGGAAATAAAGGACAATTCTCCCATATTGTTTTTTGTGGTACCTAATCATACACACATTATAATATCAAATTTTTGTATTACAGTGTACAATTCTGCACAGTTGTTGCTGCAATGTAAGACAGTGTGTGTCCTAAATTGACTTGATAATGGCTGTGGAACATTAGGCACCAAATAAGGGGTGGCCTAACAGATCACCTCTAAAATGAGAGAGTAATTTAGTTTCCACATACATTCAATCCTTGTCCTCTCTGCTGAGATTGTCAAGCAGGATGCTAATAGTATAATTGCAATCCTTGTACTTGCTCCCTAAGAATTGGATTGAGACAACCAACTAATTTCTCATAGTTTAATGAACAGCTATCAGGTGGTAAAGATTTTTGGTCAAGCCTCAATTGCATTTAAAAAGTGACCTCCAGGTGTAGTAAAGTTCTGGGTTTCTTTCCATTGACGTCAATAGCCATTGGATGAGCCCTCTGCCATTATCAATCCCCATTAACCCTTTAGCTCTCCGATTTCCTTGGGATCATCTTAGCATCTAATTGCCACATTCTCTGGAATTACTTACTGACTGGCAAGTTTGATATTGATTGCTTTAAGGTCAGCAGACTCTTCAGCTTTCTTCATCATCACCAGGAATTTCAGTTCTGGGCTACAATCTTGGGCCAAGACATGGTAGCAATTTGCAGGCATTGAGTAGTTGAATTCAACTTCATCGAAGGTTGTGATCATATTTTGGGAGACTGAACAATGACCTGAAAAAAAAGCCCACCATTAGTGAGCTTTTTCATTTAGGTGTTCAAATGTACTAATTGTTTTTTTTATTTGTTGGGCCAGTTTCTACTCTTGCCTACACCAGCATAAATTCAAAGTAACCCCACTGTATTGAATAATTTCATATTGGCTCCAGTGTGAGAGCAGCATTTTGCCCATCACTGCACACAAGAGAGCAGAAATATGACCATTACGAATACTGTGAAATAAATTCTGCTCTTACTTGCTCTGGGTGCAATCCTATACATTTGGCCTATTGACTTCAGTAACCTTGATGTGATGTAAATGAGAGCAGAATTTATCCCACCATGTTAATAATAATTACCACATCATTGACTTCAGAGCAGTAGCACCAGAAGATGGAGTTCCATGACAGAGTATTTGACAGCTTATATGGGTTTATTGATTATACTGAATTTTATCAGGATTAGAGCTGGTTAAGAAACAGAAAACAAAATCCTCAGAATATGAGCATTCTCTCCAACCCACTTTTCACTGAAATGTCATTCTCAGAAATTTTCCTACCAGCTGTAATCAGCTTTGACTTCAATAAAGTTGCATCATGGGAATTTGTCCCAGTGGATTTACACTGGTGTAATTGAGAGCAGAATTGGCTCATATATGTTTTCTTATTAAGTTTCTGTAACAAACGTAGAGGCCAATTCTGCAGTCCTTCACATTGAGCCAAATTCAGCTGTGATACAAATCTATTGACTTCAGATGAATTGTGTCCATTTGCACCAGTGCATAATTTGGCTCTTTCATTGAAGATTTTACCTGAAAAAGGATCGCACAACTGGGTCCTTAATATTTCATTATTGAAAAAGTAAACCCTTAAAAACACAAATAAAGGAGGTGAGATTATGGCCAAGATTTGCAAAAGTGATTTTGGGTGCCCTTTAAGAAGTCTCAAGCAGGTTGCCCATACACTGAAGTACTCAAAATGATTGATCACTTGTAAATCTTGGTCATACATTCCAATCTAATTTTATCCAGGATTCTTAAGAGATAATGAATCTGACACAAAATAATGTGCAAATTTGGGAGAATGTGTGTTTTTCACTGCTGTCAATGGGCAGACTCAAACCCTAATTTCTGAGCTGGATTTGAATATTTTTAGACATTAGTACAACATATGGTACACTGAGCCAAATTCTGCCCTTGTTTACACCTGTGCAACCTAGCTCACCTTGATTATAGATGTAAAGTTTTTGTTTGCAGTTCAATTTATTTTTTAATAAATGTAAAATAATTCCAAGTAATGAAAAAAAATGAGGCTATTAGTGCTTTGAAGATGATGAATTACTGACCTTTAAGACTGTCAATGACTGAGGATGGTATTTTAGTGAAGAAATTCCAAGCAGGATACTGCAGCACTGAAGTTGATATACTTGGATCTAAAGGGAGTGGCAGTGGAAGGCTAATGTCTCTGCCATAAATTGTGAGCTGAAAAGGAAACAGAAAATAGATTAGAATATAGAATATGCCAAATTTCCACAAAACCAATATTTTTATGGTAATATTGAAAGGAGGCTGTGTTATGTATTATCCTTTCACTGATCGAAATCTACGTGGGTCACAAGTGAAAAGGAATGAAAGTTCCTATTTGTCTACACTACACAATGATTGCACAGGTGCCACATATGAAGTTTCTGGAATAACAAAGGTGATATAGATTAGCTCTGAGGTTCATTAATGGAGCTCTTTGAGGAAACATATATCATAGATCCCCACTGCCCAAATGGCTCGGGACCTGTTTACATGAGAGACAAACTCCCCAGGTCTGTACTACCAGAGTCAAGATCAGTGAAGCCTTAACTGGAGCTATATCATTTTGAAAGGGCTACTGGTAGGACATTATTTGTCAGGGGTCCTCAACAGTAATTTTTTCTCCCTATTTTTGGCCCAACAGAGTCTGGATTTGTCAACCTTCCAAGCATGCTGTCCTCTTCCTGGAGATTTGGGGAGGCGGTACTCTGAAGGCTGAACTGTTTTTTATTAGTTAGTTAGTTAGTTTATGTATTTGTTATGCTGGCTCTATTTTATTTGCTGATTTGTTTTTTATCCATTAGAGTAGGGAAAAGTCAATTACAAGATATTTTTACTATGAAACAAAATTATGTAAAAGCATCAAGAGTGTGGAATGGGAGTTTATTCCTGTTTTTATAAACTGAAAAAAATATTTGTGGCTCAAGCCAAAACTCTCAACCTTCAATTTTGTGAGCACTAAATTCTCTGGCAAACCTTTTTTTTTTTTAATAGTAAAATATTTACATCAGGTAGCTTGAGAGCAACATCACAGGTTCTTGGAGAAGTTAGAGCCATAACCAGAGTAGCCTGTTGAGAGGGATTGTTCTGTTCCCTTTGGGAAAATCCAAGCATGTACGCAACTCCCGGAAGAAATGTGTAAAACCTGCAAGAGGGAATAAGTGATGTAATTGATTTTCTGTGGAGAGTTTTATTTAAATTCCATTCATACCGAAACACTCATAATGAAGTAAACACTGTATTTGGCATCTGTTACAGAGCAAGCCTGTCACCAGAGCGGCTCTAGGCACCAGCAAAGCAAGCACGTGCTTGGGGCAGCCCATTTGCAGGGGCGGCAGGGATCCAGCATGGGAGCTGAGAACCAACAGGGGACCCTGGGAGCTGTAGTTCCTTGGTTAGCTTCCTGCCTATAGAGCCAGCCCTGGAGCAGGGAAAGCACTACATTTCCCAGCATTCCTTTGGCCACTACCAACAGGAAAGAGGAGGAGGGAGTGAGGAAGCTGAGACCTCATGCTACAGCCTGCTTTTAATGGAGAGCTGCACTGGGCAGGGTAGGGATACCATATTTTAACATTTAAAAAATAGGACACTCCACGGGGAGGGAGGGTAGCCCCACCCTGCTACCACTCCCCCCCTCCGACTCGCCCCCCACACGAAACCCCAACCCATCCAACCCCCCCTGCTCCCTGTCCCCTGATCACCTCCTCCCGGGACCCCCTGCCCCTAACTGCCCCCCAGGACCCCACCCCCTATCTAAGCCCCACTGGTCCTTGTCCCCTGATTGCCCCCTTCTGGGACCC